TAGGGCCTGGATCCCTCGTTCCGCTTCTGAACGTGTGTATGCTGTATCGCGCGGACCCCTTGCAGTTGCCCGCCTTTTCAGGGCAGTCAGAAGCTCCAAGTTACCACCCTTTCCAAGGGGGCCACGTCGATGAAGATTTATGCATAAAGATGTCTCTCTCGAAATAATAAGCAACCTACATATACAGTGCATGACGCTAATTTTTAAATAAAAATATGTATATACAATTAGCACATAGCAAGATGATCGGATGTTATTAAACGTTAATTCTTCTTGAATGGTGGGAATACACAGATGGTCATTTATACTTCTCTGTATGCTCCCATTTTTCCACAAGAAAAACGATGTTTTGTCAGAAAGGAACCCCAAGTAAACCTTATTTCAAATCTAATGGATGGGTAGCCCCACACCAAATTAACGGGTAAGAAGTGGGGACTGTTCCTTGTGCTCCATACCTCACGAGAAATGAAGCGAGAATGAAACTGAGTCAACATGCCATACACATTGAGGGGATTGTAGTCGTTGTTTCTGGGCAGCTCTAAAAAGTTGAGGGCCAACAAGAGTCAGTTTTCATCCCATGCGATGACCAGTTATCCCTGCACCGCTAGCCTGGCCTTTTACCCACTTGCTTGTAACGTCATCTCTCACCTGTGTATTTATCAAGTTCCTCTGTATATATAATTCTACTTCTGAGCATTTTATCCTGTTGCTTCACGGAGAGAGGGGGGACATACTGCCTGCAAAATAAATTATTCAAACCCGTAAAACTCCACAGATTGAAAAGATTCAACAACCATGAAAAGCTGTTCCTAATCCTGTTCATTTGTCATGAACTAAAAGACCACTAGCAGAAAGTAACCATCAGAAGGAGCCAAAGATTTAAAGAGAAGATTATGGGTTTTTGTTTTTTGTTTTGACATTTTGAGAAATTCAGCAAACATTTTAATTTATACATAAGAAAAGGAAGTGTTCAAAAGGGTATGCATTTCAAGTTATTGCAGGTTATTTGTGAGAGAATTTCTGCGGTAAAACATGTTTAAATTTAACCAACAGTAGTGTGTCAGTGTATTTAAAATCATGACAAAAATAGAGAAGATTGTAGGTTTTAAAACAAAAACTTTAAAAATTGATAAAATTCATACACCTACGTGTTCTCTGATATTTTTTTTCCACGTGAAAATTTGGAAAAGAATACCATTATTCTTTTTCGAGGAGGGAACAATTCTGGGCAGCTGATGAAACAAGAACAAGTTGAGAAACACTGAGCTACTATACACGTTGTAAAACTGAGGCCGTAATAGCTGCAAATTGCCACTAGATGGGGGTGTTGCTAAAAGTGATAGTCTTGCTTAATTTGTGGACAGACTCCTGTAGAAAATGAGGTATTTTCCCTCCTGGCTTTAGATAACACATATAATGATAATCACACCAAAAATATATTACCAAGTGTGACAAGTTCCGAAATGCAAAGCAGAATTGGAGACACTGATGAAGTAGATTGCTACTTTATTTAAAGGAAAACTTTCTCTTTATGGAAAACAGGAACTTAAACATGTAGCCCTTTCATTATATGCTTTGAAATTTCTATTATCCTGTCTAGAGGATATATGATTATATAAATAACCATTATATACGATTATTTTTAGTTTATGAGATAACCCTTTCTCTGGAGCTAGGACCTAGGAATCTGCCTTTAAAAAAAACCGAATGATTCAAGGCAGGTGCTCATCTGTCTACACTTTGAGAAACACTTCTCAGTGTAATGATTCTTAATCTTTCATTTGAGTGAAGGACCCCTTTGAATATCAATTAAAGCTTTGGATCTTCTCACACATCATATTAGATTTAATATCATAAGATTCATGTATTTTAAAGAACAACCATTCTACCCACGAGTGGAGGGTAGCACAAAGTAGGGCTAGATGGATTCTTGCAAAATTTTAATTCTATGACATCAAGGCTCTAAGCCAAGAAGAAAACTGGAACATTTTTAGACACACACTGGTGTTTGAATGAGAATAGTGAGAAAGCAGAGTTTGTATGTCTATATAGGGAGTGGGATAAGAAGACAAGCAGAAAGGGTCCTAAAAGGTAGAAAGAGAAGACCCCTCTTCCTCTAATGTACTATATTTCTTCATATCATCTACTTCCTTATCTCTTTCACCTTTGTGCCCCTGTACATTGTACATATGCAAATCTCGTAAGATTCATCTTAATGAAACACTTTTAGAACTTGAGGTTTCAGTTTACTCTTTTTTTCTCTAATCTTGACCCACCCTGGCAGGTAAAATTGAGACAAGATTTCCAAATATTGAAAACCATCACAAAGAACACTGAGGAAGTTAGATGAGACTTTGGGTGAGTACCCATCCTCTCTGCAGTTATTCCCTCATCTGTAAAATGGGAATGATAATCACTGCCCAGCCTATTTCAAAGATTCTTGTGCAGATCAAATTTTAAAAAGTGTATTTGAAAGTACAAGTTCTGAAGTGCCATCCAGATGTAAGGGACTATCATATGGTGTGCTGTCCTCAATATTTACTGTTACTTGAGTAATACAATGGGATATGAGTAATCATTGTTCAATTAATATATGCTGAGGGGGGAAATTTTATTGTGGGAGAGGGTGTGGCAAATAGGAGGGAAATAGCATTGTAACCTCCCACCATACCAGTGGTCCTCGACCCTAGCTGCACATTAGAATCATCTGGAGAGCCATTAAAATACTGTAAATCAGGGGTCCCCAACCCCCAGGCCATGGACCGGTACTGGTCCTCAGCCTGTTGGGAACCAGGCCGCACAGCAGGAGGCGAGCAGTGGGCAGGCGAGCCAGCAAAGCTTCATCTGTAGCTCCCCATCACTCACCATTGCTCCCATTACCTCCTGAACCATCCCCCACCCTCCGTGGAAAAATTGTCTTCCATGAAACCCATCCCTGGTGCCAAAAAGGTTGGGGACCACTGCTCTAAATGCAATGTTGTAGCCTATATTGGATCCAGAAGCAGAAAAAAGACATTAGCAGAAAAACTAATGAAATCCCAATAATATCTGTAGTTTAGTTAATGATAATGTAACAATCTTAGTTTCTTAAGTTTTGATAAATGGACCGTGGTTATATGAGATCTTAACATTAGGGTAAACTGGGTGAGAGCTATATAGGAACTTCTGTACTATCTTTACAACTTTTATATAATTCTAAAATTATTCCTCAAAAATTATTTAGAGCAAAAAACAATGTAAAAAATAAATATGTCTTGATGTCACCCTAGATAGGTGAATCAGAATCCCTGGGGAGGTGCCTGGGCAACTGTGATTTTGAAATTTTCCCCAGTGGTTCTAATATATGGTGAGGGTTAAGAACCACTGTTCTACACCATGAATGCTTGAGAGACTGGGATCCTGTCGTGTTCTTCACTCTAGCCTGGTACCTAGCACAGTGCCTATATGGAGAGCTTGCATACTTGTGCCCTTGCTGAACCATTTGCAGAAATCTCCTTTATTTTGAGTCCTCTGTAATAACAGAAGGAAAACTGAAAACAAACCTCTTCCCCTCAAAAATATTGGGCTGGCCAAAAAGTTCGTTCGGGCTTTTCCGTGACATCTTACCAGGGAAGATTTTCAGACATCTTCCTGCCCAGAATAGTTTCTACTCCTGCCCCCAGTCTCTCATCATTTTCAGTTAACCCTGACCATTATCACCAGATAAATATTCCTGAAATACTAAAACTGCCATCTCTTTGTTCAAAAGTCTTACTTAGTTCCCCATTACCTAAGTAAATAATATACTTCTTAGTTAGGCAAGCAAAATTCCATACACTCCAATAATACAATAATTTTCAGCCTGCTAGCCTGCTATTCCACATGCACCCTGCATTAACTGTAGATTGCATGCAGTTCTCTTGAACATGTCTTTAATTCACCCTTCTCTCTGTCACATACAATAATGCTGCTATCCTCACCTATATTACAAATCCTCTCCATCTTTCAAGGCTCCACTCATGTGTAATTTTTTCGGGTCACTCCAGCAAAAAAGTGAGCATTCCCTCTGTTGTATCTTCTAATTTAAATGGCACTAGCATTACTATTTTCTTTTGTAATTATTTGTTTTCTGTTTTATTCCCCCACGAGACTAGATTAAACTCCTAGTGGGCAAGGACTATGTGTTATAGGTCTTCTAACCCTCACAGTGCTTACCATGATGCTGTCCACACAAACACGTGATAATGATTTAATATACATTTTGCACAATTACAGTGTATAAAAAGTAAAAATAGAAAATCAAAATTCAAATACACAACTACATTCATCACTCCAAAATATCTTTGAAGGAGTCCCAGAATAAGAATTATTAAAATTGTTAAATTGTTAAAAGCCATCTGAAGCCTGAATAAGATTTTGATGCTGGGCTTCCCTGGTGGTGCCAATGCAGGGGACACGGGTTCGTGCCCCGGTCCGGGAGGATCCCACATGCCACGGAGCGGCTGAGCCCATGAGCCATGGCCGTTGGGCCTGCGCGTCCGGAGCCTGTGCTCCGTAACAGGAGAGGCCACAGCAGTGAGAGGCCCGTGTACCGCAAAAAAAAAAAAGATTTTGATGCTATTGTTACATTAGTAATTGAACAAAGTTTATAAGAAAACTATATACTTCCTCAAATTTTAATTGTTCAGACTTAAAAATGGGAAAAGGAAGGGCTCAGTAATTTTCCCCTGAAAACAAACATTTATTTGACTAATTCTTAAGGGCAGGAAAATTGTTAAGTCTGTTCCCACCACTATCCTCTCCCTAATATACCTACACATACACACGCATGCGCACGCGTGGGCGTGCACACAGACACACACACACTAGCAGGATGTTGTCTATGTGGTAGAGCCTGAAAAATCACATTAGTTCTCTCTTTCAGATATGGTCTATATATGGGGGAAAAACCACTGTTAAAATATTAATGAATATTGTAGAGATTTCTACCATATTTTGAGAAAAATCACACATATGATGTAATAAGATGTGAATTTTGTTGGACAACTATGATGGTTGCACATTGTTAAAACAAAACAACTATAAATTTCATTTTCTGGGAGAATCTCTTGAGGAACGTTTGGAATTGCTGGTATCTCTGGTTCCTCTGCTTTGGGTTTTTCCTTCATTTCTGTAAAATAAAACAAAATACGAAAATACATTTAATAAATGGTATTGGGATGATTGGCTATCCACTTGGAGAAAAAAAAACTCTACCTAACACTTTGCACAAAAACAAATCTCAGATGAATTAAAGATTTAAATATTAAGATACAGTAAATGTTGTAGAAACAATAGAATATTCCTTTAATCTTAAGATTATAAAGGCCTTTCTAAGCAGACCACAGACCAGAAGCCATAAGGGAAAAGACTGACAGGTTTGAGTCATTAAGAATTAAAATCGTGACAGGTTTGAATAACTGAAAACGAACATTAAAATTTTGTCATATAGAATGCCAAACTACTATAAACAAAGTTAAACCACAAACAACAACTAGAAAAATATTTACAACTTACATGTAGGTAAAGATTTAATAACTATTATTTAAAGAGATTTTTAAAATCAATCAAAAAGGTAGATATCCCAAATATAAAATGGAACAAGGATTCAAACAGGCAATTCTCAAAAGAAAAAAACCAAATTCATAATAATCATAAAAATATGCCTAGCAGCATTAGTCATAAAAAAGTGGGAATTAAAACAATTAGGTTTTTTTTTTAACCTAACATAATAGGCGTAGATTATTAAAACAATCATGTGCAGTGTTGTCAAGGGCATGGGCAACAGGCACTTACATAAATGCTTGGTTTCTGTGTATTGCTACAACATTTTTGGAGGCTACTCTGACAGAATGTATCCAGACTTTAAATGCTGGTACCCTTTGGCCCAGCAATTCAACTTCTAGGGATTTGTCCAAAGGAAGTAATCAGACCAACTTAAGCTTCCAGTGCCTTAGTTTCCTTATCTATAAAATAAGGATAATATTATTCATCCACTAGGGTTTTTAACACTGAATAAAGTGATTCACATGAAGTGTTTAATACAGTGTCTGGCAGATAGAAAGTGCCAGATAAATGTTATTTAAATAAATGTTACTTCCAGTGATGTTCATTGAACATTGCTGTAATAGTAAAACTTGGCAGTAATCTAAGTGTTCATCATTATAGGGATCGGTTGAATAAATTATTGTACATATAATACTGTAGAATTGTTACAAAAGATGTCATTAAGATGGCCACAATATATATTGTATGTGAAAAAAAAGCAGGTTATGAAATGGAATGTATTGTATTGATACCATCTCATTTGTTAAAGCAAAACAAAACCTTGACCTTGGGGATCAGAGATAGGAGATGGTATTATAGGGGACTTTTACTCTACAGTCACTTATATATTGCTTTAATTTATTATAATAAACATAATTTATTATTATGACAATTTTATAATCAGCAAAAAGGTAGATATTTCCACTTGTTTGGTAAGACAAAGCCCAAAACAAAATAAGCATTAATTAATTGCCCATCTTAACCTTGCTGGGTTTAAAATGAAACTCTTAGAATCGGGCACTGTGTTGATTAGAGCTGCTTCTCCATCAGGGGACTCCTGTCAGTACAAGTAGTGCTTCATATGTCTGCTTTTACTGTAATTTTTTAAAAGGTATTTCCTCAAAACCTGTATTACTTGGAATACAATAACCCCAGGTTTTTGTTGCACTCATATTTTAGGAGAAAGAGAAAATAAGCTACCAAAAGGATTTCTTTAGAACACAACTCCCTGGGGATAGCTATGGTCCGCTAGACAGCCCATTTCTTATACTGTGTACAATAGTGCACGAAGAGAATCAAGGCTCTCAGTTATGTCCCCGAGACAAGTCAAACTGAAGAAAGGTCACATTATTTCTTAAATGCTATGCAGAGGAGGAAGCTTTTCAGGAGCAAATATTTAAATAGAAAGGGTTTGGGGTAAGCCTGGTAAGTCCTACAAGAACCAGTTCCCTATTACCAGGATCATATTTTATGTCTTTGTATCTCCCTCGGTAGCTTGTACCATGAATTTACTTACCTTTAGTTTGCCAGGAAATTTTAATTTTCTAGAAAAAACTTTATTCACCAAGTTTTCTTGTTAATCTAAATGTAATTGTCCTTTAAAATATTTTGCACATAATTCACTCTATATGGGGTTTATTTTTCTTCACTGGCTAAAGCGTCCCGTATGTACAAGTAGCCACTATACACACTTATAGTTTCAATGATTTTCTTTTAATTATATGGTAATATACCAACAGATATTGGGTGAATGAAAAACATTTTTCACTTGAAACTAGCCAAAGACATTGATGATACCCATTGAGATAACTGGGATAACCCAGGATTGTCAAAGAAGGCAATAAATCACCGCTCCAAGGGAGATAAACCTATCTGGTACTCTGATTATGAACACGGAACACAAATAAGGGGCATGTCACTAGCTTGACCCCAATAAAAAAAAAACCAAAAACCTACCTCAAGGAGAAATATAAACACCCTTAGCATCTTCCTGGTGTGCTTTGGGATCCTGGTCTTGGGGCCCACCTCTTTCTTGGTACAGTTCTGGAAAGCATTCTTCAGGCACATCCTTATCTTTATATGTCTTAGTAGAGAGGTCTTCAGGCCCAGGTATTTCTTGGTATATTTCAGGTGCATAGCCTTCAGGCCCAGCTGTTTCTTGATATATTTCAGGTGAATATTCTTCGGACCCAGGTGTTTCTTGGTATATTGCAGGTGAATATTTTTCAGGAGCTGGTGTTTCTTGGATTGTTTTATGAGAGGGGGCTTTAGACACAGCAATTTCTTTATATGTTTTATGAGAAAAGTGTTCAGGTTCAACTGTTTCTTGGTATGTTTTTATAGAAAGCTCTTTAGGCACAGCTATTTCTTGTGCTTTAGGAACAAAATTTTCAGTCTCAGCTATTCCTTGACCTAGTTCAGAATTGTGTTCCTCAGGTTCAGCTCTTTTTTGGTAGGTTTCAAGAGCGTAGCCTTTAGGCACATCTGGTTTGGGGTATGCTTCAAGAGGGCATCCTTCCAGGTCAGCTACATCTTCAGATGTTTTAGAAGAAAGGGCTTTGGCTGCAGCGGTTTCTTGGCACATTTTAAGGGAGAGGTCTTCAGGCTGAGCCATATCATGGCGCATTTGGGAAGGATGGTCTTGAAATACAGCTATTTCTTGGTACATTTTAGGAGAAAGGTCTCCAGATTCAGCCATATCTTGGAGTATTTCAGAAGAGTGGTTTTGTACTGCTGTTTCTTGGTATTCAGAAGAATTTTCCTGATGGATAATGCTTTCTTGACCTATTTCAGAAAAATGTTTCTTGGGCACAACTCTTTGCGTGGAGGCTACCGGAAGGAGAGCTTCGGTCACACTCCTGGGTGGTTCAGTTTCTTTCTCTGTAGGTGCTGGTGCTTTCTCCATCATTTCCTTTTCTAATTGTGACAGAGGCTCCACCTTCGTTTCTGCATTTTGTTGTCTCTTTCTGCCTCTTTCACTTCTTTTTCCTGTTCTCTGCCGCTTATGTTTTTTCTCTCTATAGAGAAATCAGAATTAGTGTCAGCAACAGGGCTCCAGAATTCAAATAAACATTTGGTAATGACAGTCCCAGGACTCCCACTGCCTTGTTGCACGACCTTGAACAAGTCACTTAATCTCTCTCTGGGCCTCAGTCTCCTTGTTTGTAAAATGAAGAAGCAGTTCTAGATGCTCTCAATTGTCGGGAGAGGAAATGACCCTCAGGACTTTTTGTCTTTGATGCCTTGCTCAACAGGAATCTTCTTGGTGAGTGTAGCGTGCGTGTGTGTGTGTGTGTGTGTGTGTGCACGCGTTTGAGAGCATATACTTAAAGTTTGGTTATGGAAAATGTATTGTTGATGTTATACATTAATAGACTGGCATTCTTGTTTATATGCTAGTCTCTGTGGGTCTAGTCTATGTGAGTTCATTTCTCTATACCCTGGGTAAACTGATATGATTGTGTTCCTAGATCTGCAGTGCAGGCCTGCTCCTCATCTGTGCAGCCTGCAGGTGAATGATGTATGTGGCTTGCTTATCTAATACAGTGTCTTGTGTAAAGCAGGCTAAGTAGCCAAAGCTGGGTCCAAAGCTCCAAAGCTGCAAAAACACTTCCTTGAGGTAAAGCAGCTTGGTGGAAAGGCATGAGTGGTCATATTATACCTACTCTGAACCAATAGCTAAAGATCTAGAAGATGAAAGGATATGCGTGGGTATTGCAACCAATGACAAATTGTTAGGTACTGCAGATATAGCCAAATACAGATGGCTAATATAGATGGACTTGGGGGAAGAAAAAGATAGTATAAAAAAGCATTTCATCATTTTTCTAAACCTATTGAAATTCTGTTTCATGCTACCTGCCCTATGGAGCCTTCTCCAACAGACCACAGGGCTGAAATGCTCTCCCTGCTTACCACTCCTATAGAATTTATTATGAGGATTATGCTTAAGGTAAAGAACAAAGGCTGCCTCATCCTGTAGTTATTTCTGGAGAAACCCTATTTCTTTTAGTAAACAAGACAGTCTTTGGAGATAAAAGCGGTGTTTTTTACACCTATGCAGTGCTTGCAGTTCCTTGTACACTTAAAAAATGTATACCCTATTCTACTTTTGCGTGTTTGAAAATTTCCATAATTAAATTTTTTTAAAGGTTGTCTCATCAAAACCAGTTTGAAGTCAATATTAAAAAGGTACATATTGTAATAGTACAGTTTAAAATAAATATTAAAAATAATATAGAAGGTAAAAATGATATGGTACCTCAGCATTTGGAAGTTTAATTCCAAGTAACCAAGGTAACAAGATAAATTATAAAGTCCTTATTGTCAGGTTTTAAAAAGATGATGTATGTGAATTCTTCAGGCAACATTATTATCCTAGAAATTAAATCCTAAATAATTTGTTATGTAGAGGAAATATATATATGAGGGAAATGTGAGTAATGTTCCATGTTCTTCCTGGTAGTTTCTCAAAAGATACAAATATATCTGTGTGGCCTAAAATTTAATCTGTACTCTGTCACTTATCAGCTATGTGATCATGGGCAAGTCACTTAAACTCTCTATGCCTTGATTTCTTCACAGGTAAAATGGAGTAAATAGTATCTGCCCAACCTCATGTGGTTGTCCTAAGAATTGCATGTAATAACTTATATGAATGAATCATCCAGATAGAAACTAGTACTCTTATATAAATATCAGAAATATACATATATATATATATATATATATATATATATGGTGTTTCCTATGTGCCAGGCACTGTTTTAAGTAATTTACTTATTCCGTTATCTCATATAGTCTTCACATCAACTTATGTGGTAGATACTATTATTATCTCCATTTTGAAGATGAAAAAACTAAAGCACAGAGAGGTTGAATAACTTGTCCAAGGTGAAATGGCTAAGAAGTAAGGGAGCCACGCTTCAAATCTAGTCATTTAGCCATCTGGCTTTAGCAGCCAGGCTCTTAACTATTACACCCTACCGCTTCTCTCTGGAACTAAGGTTTCACTGTGTAGAATGTTGTAGTGAGGACAGCCCTCAGTAGTATAGATATGTGCCACAACAGCAAGGCCGGCCAGCTGCCAAGAGGCTCACCAAGGTTCCACCTGCTCCAGTGACTTCTTCAGCCTTGCCCCCCCCACCCCCGCCAAACCAATGAGCACAGAAGCCCAATTCTATGAGCATACTGAGACCAGCTCCATTTCTAGGGTCAGAGCTCATCAACCAGCTCAAAGAGATTGATATGTAAGCCTAAAGACCAATTTTTAAATGAACAGTGAGAAATGCAAAGACTTGGGAAGGCAAGGAATGATCAGAAGGTTGCTTGGTGAGTAAGGAATTAGGGGAACTAATTGTGTGTTCTTCAACAGAGTCACCTGTCAGAGGACTTGAGTACAGAAGTTTCTGCTATAACATATATGCATTCCTGAAAAACCTCACTTTCTGCAAAATCATGCACTAAAAGTGACAGTGCTTATGGGGAAAAAATTAAGTTGGGGCAAATGATTCAAATCCTATGCAACTTTTTAACACTAGCATAAACAGTAATTGGGACAAGGGAGAGATAACTTGGATAGTCCAGACAGGCAGCTGACTATGGCTGGAGGCTGCCTCCGGGATGGTAAAAATGCACAAAAGCAACAGTGTAAATGCAGGCTTTCAGTGCTGAGATCATGCAAATAAGGGTGCTCTGAGCCAGCAGGGCTGCCGCTAAGTTGAGCACAGGAGGAAGTGCAACCTGCTATATGTGGAGATCTTTGCAAGGCTACCAATGTCCTTCTCTGGGGAAGAAGCCCCGGATGAAGGCTGAAAAGGACCCTGTCTATACATCAGCCAAGCCAAAGGCTTTTTCCTTTCCTGTGAAGGTTTTAACTCTATTCCCACTATTCTGGCTTCTTTTGAGTAGGTAAAATTATGAACTAACACAACTTCCACATTATACTGACATCATTCTCATATTTACCAATCATATGTGAGCTAAATGGTGTTGTAGAAACATGTGTTGTTGCAGAACAGACGATACTCAGTCCACAGTGGGAATAGGTACTTAAAACATCTGCACTCTATGTTTTTTAAAAAAATGATGCCTAGAAAAATGTTTACCTATGTTTTTTTGGGTTTTTTTCACAAAGCAGAGCCCGGCCCTGTGAAAAATGTATACCTATGTTATTTTTGCCATTGAAGGAAACATTTTTACATTAAAGAAGAAATGCACATCTAAATCTTAATCAAAAAAATTTTAAAGAAGAAGAGTGCTTAGATCAGTGGTTCTCAACTGGGAGCATTTTACCTCCTCTCCCCTGACCCCAGGAGACATTTAACAAGGTCTGGAGAAATTTTTGGTTGTCACGATGGGGAGGGGAGAGTCCTGTGGGTTTCCAGAGGCCAGTGGTGCTGTGAAACATCTTCAATACACAGGACAGCCTCCCACACAAAGAAGTCGCCTATCCACAGCACTAATAACACCAGCATTGAGAAACCCTGGCTCAGATGGATGCTGTACTTTGGCTCCTTGGGCTCCCCTTTTCTATTTCCAAGCAGGCAATACCTCTGTTTTCACAGTTATATTCTAAATGGTGCAGTTAGATGCTGCCTGATTTATAGTCATGTTCATGTACTCCCTTCCTGAGATTACATACAGCTGACTTTGGACACTTAGGAACTCTCAAACTCTTCCACCACTCATTTACAGACAGTGCTTTGGTTTACTCCATGGAGAGTTAACTACACGCATTCAAGAAGAATTTCACTAATAGAAAGCTTGGAGAACAAGCTTGGGGGTCTTCTCAAAGGTGTTTCCCGCTCCCAACAGATACTTCTATGGTTATATTACTAGGGTGGTTGAACACCAGTCCTCTCTACAATATACATAATTTGATCACCTGGTACTGTAATTAAAAGAGACCATAAATAAGATTCTATTCCCATCACTTTACTAGATGGGAGACTTTAGGCAAGAGATTTAACCTTCAGAGACTTGGTTTCTTTTTTTGTAAAATGAGGATAACAGCTCCCAATTTATAGGATTTTTGGAAAGATGAAATATAGTGTGTAAAAGTGCTCAGCACCACTTGACAAGTAGCATATGCTAGATAAACATCAGTTCCTTTCCCCTTGCAGCAATACCATACCCAAATTGCCATTGTGAAGTTTGCTTTTCTTGTGCTTCAGCTTTTCTTTTTCTGAGTTGCTCTCTGTTTCTTAAACTCCAAGTTCCAATGACTTCTGTAGGATCAAAATGAAAGATATGGGAGATAGTGATGAGTTGTGGCATTAACAGGAAAAGAGTCCTATAGAAAAATAGTAGAATCCCTTTACTGGGTGTGTAAGTTTTTCTCCTAGCCTTTTGAGGACAAGAACTATATCTTATTTATTCTTGTACCTCTGAAGAATGCCTGGGAGCAAACATTCAGTCGACATTTTTTAAATGAAAAGGTCAGTATTTGTACATAAGTGTGTTACCAACCTATTAATTTTTTCAAAATAGTGTACATATTGTACAAACATAAAAGAAAAAAATCAGCTATGTTCTGCCATCCTATAACCTGTTTTCATTTTATTCCTCATATTCATCTAGTCCCTATATTAAACAAAGTTGTAATGATGGCGTACCACATTTTTATCATTTATTAACCTGATACATCAAAAATATATTCCATCATCTCGTCCTCATAATTATAACTTTAGCAGCTGCATGATACTTAATCGAGTTGATGTATTCTCATTTATCCACTCATTCCACTCATATTGAACATTTAGGTTGTTGCCAGTTATTTTTTTTTGCCATTGTAGATCAAATTATAATAAATATTTCAGGTACACAACAGCTTTTTTTCTTTTGTATATTTTTCCTTTGGATGACGTTTCTCCAAGTTCTTTGGAATACTAAAGTTATTATCAAGAAAGGTTCTGTTGCCATCCAAGTTTGTGAAAAGTTAACGTTGGGTCTTTGATGTAGAACTTCTTAGAGACTATAGAATGATTTCAAATTTGCACCGGGACCCCCAAAAGAGAAAATGCCCCTTGGACCATGGCACCTTTTGTTTTTAGGACAGAAGTCCTTAATGGTGAACTTGGATGGGGGAAAATTGTACTTTTATTTTTACCATCTTTAATTTAAATGACCATTTCCTTCAATTATGAATGTAGGTAACAAACCACAGTAGTTTTAGCAGTGTGTGATTTTGTCACAAAAAGAAATTACAGATTTTCTTCATATAACATGACAGTTATTGTAGATACCTTAAAATATCATTTATTTGAGATGATATATTTGATTTGATACGGTGGTAATTAGATCCACCACTGGACCTTGTTATTTAATGCATCTGTAAATAAGCACATATATTATTATATCATAGTTTTTTATTTTGATAACTTATCTTAATATAATTGCTTCCTTTATAATCCTATGTATTTAATTTTATGTATTTAGACTTCTTACTCTAAGAAGGGGTCTAGAGGTTCATCAGAATGCCAAAGGGATCCAGGGCATTTAAAAGTTTTAAATCACTGCCTCAAGGCCTAGGGTTCTGCAAAAGCAGCAGAAATGCTGCTTTAGGATAGATCCAAAGACTAAGATTAGTGAGTCAAAAGAATAAACACTATTATAGTTCTTGCTACTTATTGCCAGATCCCTTTCCAAAAGTTTCACTATATTTACGTTACCAAAGAAGTATATGGTTGTATTTGTTTTACCACAACTATCTGGTATTGGGTATTTTCGTTATCTTTAATTTATATATATTATTAATAATTTATTTATTATTTCCTTGTGTTCCTCTGGCTTATTAAAATCTTAGCGCTAGAAGGCACCTCAGAAAGTTATATAGCCCCAATTCTTCCATTCTAATATATGAACGTATCCAATTATGCCCCTTTTTTTGCCAGAGCCATAAAAAGAGGAAAATAATCATAGTCCAATCCTTCCCAACAGCCACTACCTCTTAAGGTCTCTTTCATTACCTGGTACATGGTTCTCTTCTTGATGAGGATCAGGTATCTGATGGAGCATCAAGTGAGACTGGTCCTTTCCCAAATCCATCTTGCTGCAATACCTTCCTGCTGTTTGGTCTGACTTCCACAAGAACCCTTTTTTAAAATGTCAAAAGTAACTAACAGTTAAAAACACACACATACCCGAGTTCACTTGTCACTTGACTTCCTGCCTAAAAGTTTTATCTAGTTGGACCACAGCTGCTGGCTACTTCTACTTTCTTTATCATACTGCACAGGTGTGAGCAGGGGGCACAGCTGGTGCTATGTCCTCCTCCACCATAGTGGCTAGTTATACAGGCAGCCCCGCAGCCACAGACTGGTATGTCACAGCCTCCAGTATGGCAGTCATTTGGGTCTGCTAAGAAGTACCTGAGTCCGATGTTACTTTTTACATACAGAGGTGGCATAGTATAGGAAGAACACCAAGTCTGGCACCTAACCAGCTCGATGTCCTTGAACAAATCACTTCCCCTTTTCGTGACTATCCTTCCTCATTTGCAAAGTGGGTGAATAATTCCTGACTTGCCCACCTCACACAGTTCTTGTGAAAGTGAATATTATGAATGTGAAAATTATGAAGATATGAAATTAATCTTATATTGTTTTCCTGCATGTGGCATTTTTTCATCTTAACCTGATGCAAAGTAATGGAAAGTCTTGCTGTTAGATAATAGACATAAAGAACTACATTAGGAATTCAAAGCAAATTTGAACCCTCTTCTGCTCACCTGATCATTCACAATTGACTCAAGATAAGCTAGTGAAATCCACTGTGACTCATCCAGGGAAGGTCAAAAAGCATTTCTGTTTTCTTCTTTTTTTTTTTTTTTTTGTGGTACGCAGGCCCCTCACCGCTGCGGCCTCTCCCGCCGCAGAGCACAGGCTCCAGACGCGCAGGCCCAGCGGCCATGGCTCACGGGCCCAGCCGCCCCGCGGCATGTGGGATCTTCCCGGACCGGGACACAAACCCGTGTCCCCTGCATCGGCAGGCGGACTCTCAACCACTGCGCCACCACGGAAGCCCCAAAAATCATTTCTCAATGAAAATATCTGCACATTATGTCACAGAAATTAAGTTGAAACCAAAGGAATCACCCATCTTCAATCGGCCACCCGATTTGTGAAGGCAAAGAGGTACAGAGAATCAGGATTGTTCACCAAGGAAAGGAACACTGACCACCTCCTATTACAGGCAAACAGTCTGTGAGATGCAGGGTTAACACTGTATCTGGAGTCAGATACTGAGGTGAAGAGAGTTTGAATTCCAGTGTTGCCACATTCCCTAATTCAGTCACCTTAGGCCACTTAGTCTTGGAGCCAGTTTACCTACCTACAATATGGGACAATATTGGTATGTACCTCATGAGGTTATTGGGATGACTGAATCAAATAATGCATTTCATATGTGCCTGTCATATTGAATACAGGGTGCCTAGCATATTCAACATGCTTAGTAAGTGTTAGTTGCTATTATTAGTAATAAAAATATAGTGACAAGATTTTGGTAAGTCAAGTCACAGTTTAAATGCACTAAAGAACTCAGAGAAAACCTGAAGGGAATCCTTTATAAAGAGAAAACCTTTATAATGTGAATAGATGCCCTCTACTTCCATAGACTCTTAAGGCATTAGCATCTCCTCCTAAACCATCTAGTCCCTCCCCCTATTTTATACACAGAGAAATTGAGAACCAAGGAGGGGAAAGATTTACCTGCCCCAAATTTTCTTACTTACTGGTGGCACCACATCTTACTGACTATAAGATGGGTCATCTTGTTATGCTTGATCTTACCTGGGTATGAAAATATATGTGTGGTGTGAACATATGAGAGAAGCAGCTTTTTCAAACACACTGAAAAATATTGAGAATTATATAACAAGCACTCAGGCGCTTACCACCAAAACTTAATGTGGTATTTAATTACTAGATCCTAAGCTCTAGCTTTAAGTTTCTCGGTTACCCAGTCTTTCTTGTAAGTTAATCTCTACCTAAAAATTCAGATAACTCCAGGGAGTCCCTATTCCAAGAATTCCCTATAGGGAATGGAAAGTGTAACTTGCAATTTATCTCATGATAATTTTTGGATTTTCAGATACAGGGTTTTAAAAACTCCAATACAAACTAAAGTAGCTTTGAAAATTATAAAACAGGAGTGTTTTATAATTTAAACTGGCATTTTAAATTAGTCACTTTATTTGATATGTTTTAATTCTTACTGATTAGGTTATTTCTTATGATAATGAAATAAGATAACCTTTTAGAATACTTCTAGGATGCCTTACAGAAGATGCAGAGTTACTTCTTAAATACAATTATCCTTCAAGCTTATAAGACCCAGTTCAACGATTCAGCAAACCTTACTGAATGCCTCCTCTGTGCCATGTACTGAGCAAGGCTGTCAGACTACAAAGGTGGACGAAGGTGGACAGATGTTAGTCCCTGAGTTCTGTGTACTGTAGGCCCATAGAGATATGCACATCTTTATTGGAGGGAAATAATATTTAGACCCTTTACACCCTGCTGCAGCCTGCCTAAGTTGATTCCACCCCATGTTCTGATATCTAGGAGCAGAATGTGGAGGGACTATATGAGGGTGGGGTCTCAAGTTAACAGTAATTAGGGAGCAATATTGGGTGGAGGGGGCAGGTGGAGGGAGTTTGGAGCAAACTAGATTGGAAGTCAGGCAAGGTGTCTCTGTTGTGATAAGCAGGCCACAGCAGGAACTTGTCTGGGACAAAAATAGCCAGTCAGTAAATTCACAAGCCATAGTTCACTGTCCCTTCCCTCTGTAGTGAAGTCTAGAGTCCATAGCAGTATGTGAGATGTTAGGCATTAAAGTCCAGATTTTTTTTAACAAAAGCTGCCTTGTTCTAAAGTTATTTGCATATATACATAATACCTCTCTCTAGGCCACAAACCCTTTGAGGGTGGTTACCACTCCTGATTCACCTTTCTATCCCCACAGTATAATCTAGTAGGAGGCTTAGCCCAGAGCAGTCCCCATAAACGCCCTCACTCTTGTATGCAGGGCCAGCCTCATGGGTGTGCAGCCTGTGAAAGTACTTTATACACTCAGAGGGGCTGATGCTGCTGTCACTTAGTAATACCATCATCTGTTCCAGAGCTCTTTCTACTGTCATTCACTGGCACTGACCTCTGTGCTGAAGATATAGCAGTTAGAATTTCCCTGGTGGCACAGTAGTTAAGAATCCTCCTGCCAAAACAGGGAACACGGGTTTGAGCCCTGGTCCGGGAAGATCCCACATGCTGAGGAGCAACTAAGCCCGTGCACCACAACTACTGAGCCTGTGCTCTAGAGCCAGTGAGCCACAACTACTGAGCCCACGTGCCACAACTACTGAAGCCCACGTGCCTACAGCCCATGCTCTGCAACGAGAAGCCACCGCAATGAGAAGCCCACGCACCACAACAAAGAGCAGCCCCCGCTCACCACAACTAGAGAAAGACTGCGCAGCAATGAAGACCCAATGCAGCCAAAAATTAATTAATTAATTTTTTGAAAAGAAGAAAGAAAAGTGAGCATGGAATGATAGGATAAGGAACAAGGGGGGAAAGTTGATGGTGGTTGCTATTTTAAACAGAGTGACAGTTGTTCGGGACTGAAGGAGGTGAGGGGCCAACCAGGCTGCCATCTGGGAGGGCACTGTAGGCAGAGAGGCACTGGCAAATGGCCTGAGGTGAGAAAGTGGTAGGAGGTGGGTTCAGAGAGGCAGCTTATTGCCCCTTGTAGGCATGTCTACTCTGATTGAGATGGATAGTCATGGGATGGTTTTGAACAGAGGATTGATGCCATCTGCCTTTTTTTTTTTAATTTTTGGCAACACTGCTTGGCATGCGGGATCTTAGTTCCCCAAGCAGGGATCAAACCTGCTCCTGCTGCAGTGGAAGCATGAAGTCTTAACCACTGGACCTCCAAGGAAGTCCCTGGCATATTTTTCAAGGATTATTCTATATAAAGAACAGACCATGGGGACAGGGGAGGAGGTGGAAGCAGGGAGACCAGTTAGAAGGATCCTGCAGAATACAGATGGTTAAGGCTTGGACTGTGATGGGAGTGATGAAGAAATGGTCAGACTCTGGAGTAGCTTACAAACTGGATATGCAGTGAGTGATAAAGAATCAAAGAGTATGACAAGGGTTCTGGTCTGAGCAACTGGAAAGATGGAGATACCATTAATAGACAAAGAAGACTGGGGGGAGCAGGCTTGCAGGAGATGATCAGGAGTTTAGTTTTGGACATGCTAATAGATTAGGGATAAAACAGCAAAGGAGCAGCCAGTGAGGCAGAGAATAACCAGGAAAGTGTAGTGTTCTGGACATCAAGTGGAAAAAATGTTTCAAGGAGGAGGGAGTGATCAACCTGTCAAATTTTGCTAATAGGTAGATAGAAGGAGGATTGAGAATTTTCCTAACAATTTCTTTCCTAAGAATTTAATTAATTATGGACTGGAGCCCAGAAAGGTTAAGTGACTTGGCCAAGGACATACAGGCAGGACCAGCAATATAATTTGCAGGGCCCAGTCCAAAATGAAAATACAGAGCTCCTCCTTCAAATACTATTAAGAATTTCAAGACAGCTACAGCAGAATATCAGAATGTCAAACCCATCACAGGGCCACTTTCACAAGTGCTTCCCTGAATTTTTGTGGCAAACTTATAAAATAGCTATTAGTATCCTCACTTTTCAGATCAAGGCACTGGTGCTCAGAGTGTAAAGTGATTTTACTAGGGTCACAGAGCTAGACTGGTAGTTTGAGCATGAAACCTGAGCCTGCAGCCTCCAAGTCTGGCCTTCTTCCTACTAGACCAAACTAGATATTGAGGGAGAGAATTGCTTTCCTGCCTCCTGACCCATCTGGAGCACGTTTAAGTAAGTATTGAGGCCTTGTTCATGCATTTCAGAGGCCTGGTTGAACTGGGCAGATGTGGGAGGGAGGGAAAAACATTCCTAAGAACTTCTGCCCTGGGGCTCTTTATGATGGGGGTGAAAAGGGAGCACTGGATACTATTCAGTGAGAAACTTGACCTAATAAAAGTGCCCCCAAACTGACGTAGTTTTAGGCCATATTGAT